TGTCTGATACAGGCCATGGTCTTTGCTATCACTTGTTATGCATCAGAGTTGGACAATGACTAAGGAGGCTAGAAGGAGAATTGATGCCTTTGAGCTGTGGTGCTGGAAGAGTATTGAGAGTACCATGGACTGCTAGGAAAACAAACAGATTCACCCTGGAAAGGGTCAAACCAGGCTGCTCCTTGGAGGCAAGGATTCTAAGGCTCTGTCTAACATACTTTGGACATGTTGCAAGGAAGGACAGGTTCTTGCAGAGGGACATCATGCTTGGTAGGGTGGAGGGACGGCGCAAGAGGGGACGACCCTCTGTGAAGTGGACTGATTCAGTGATGGGGTAATCGGGATGGGTGTGTCGTAGACGGTGCGATTGGCACAGGATAGAGCAGAGTTTAGGGCTGTTGTACATAGGGTCGCTATGAGTTGCAAGTGACTTGACAGCACATAACAACAACAACATTTAAAAAAAAAGCATCATTGTAGAAAGAGTATAACGATCCAAGAGGAGTGGGAGATGTTGGAAGCAGAGTGATGTGGATGTGCTGGGTGAAGACGGAATTAATTATGGGGTTGTACAATCTGATGGGTAGAAGCATGCGGGAAATTGAAAGAATTTGTTCTTGAAAACAATGTATTTGAATTTTGTAAATAAACTAGTAGATAATTAAAATAAAAGGAAAAATAAGCTAAGGGAAGGTTTACATTAGATAGAATCATCTGTGGATTATTACCAAGGTGGGGGGAGAGAGAATATTAGTGATAATTAAGACATCAAGATGGATGAAGGGAAAGTCAACGCATAAGGTGATGATCAACATACTATCACTAAAGAAAGGAAAAAGTCAGAGAAACAGAAGGATTAATGGAAATCAGAATTTCAGGGAACAAGTAAGAAAAGTGTAATGTCCCACTTTACGTTCACAGTAAAATAGAATGACTTTATGTATTCTGGTATTCTCAATCCCAAAGAACAATCTGATAATGAAACAATCCTGAATTTTATTTTAGGAGAGAATGCTCTATTAAGAGTGGCTAAGATCTTTAGGTGGGGGGGGGGGGGGGGTTTTTATAACAAGGGAAGAATTTTTTTTTTACTTTTCAAAGAGAAGAGTGAATGGGGGAGGGAGGGGTGAGCAGGGAGAAATGTGCAACAATGAAAGAATGGAAATCCTCAGTCTCTGTAAATTTTCATTAAAATTAATAATTAAAAATGTAAAAAAAAAAAGATCTTTAGGTGGTAATACCGTTTTAAACTTATAGTTCTTTTCAAACTTAAAGTTTTTATTTTGGAGATTTCCAACACTTTATAAGCCTGTCATAACCTGCAATTCTGCCTTTTGAGCTAGCTAGATAGACCTGAATTTTTTGCTCAGAAATAATCACTATAGCTTGACTATGTGTCATCTGTTACTTGGCTGGTCGGGCTGCTAAAATTAACTATCTGTAGTTCACAGCAGTACACTGGTTGAAACAGCACTACATTAAGTAGTATTGGCACATTTTCTCTGATCTCTTTCCTCTCACCCCATGTCTTAAAACAGATACTTATAAACCCAGTTAATGCCCATTTTCTGATATTGATCCCACAAGAGGAACGTAAAGCAATGAGCTCCTTGATATTAAAATAAGATTTCTCCATAGGTACTGAAGGAGCTTAATAGCTGACAGATAATATCTTCTGGGGGATAATAATTTTGATTGTGTTGTAAAGTCTGAGAAGCGAAGGATTTTAGAATACGGGAAAGAAAAAAAGGAAAAGAAGATGGAAGGGTGGTCAAAGGTGGAGAGAAAAGTGAGAGGAAGAATACACAGAACAAAGGGGAGAAAGAAGACAGAGAAGAGGTGGCAGGAGAAGAGGAACAGGGGAAAGTAAAGGAAGGAGGAAGAGGAAAAGGTGGGAAACAGACAAAGGCTAAAGAAAAGAGATGGGAGCGAAGTGGAAAGAGGAGCAGAAGAGGGGAACAAAGAAAATTGGTTACGTTTATGCTTGCTTTCTCTCTTCCTTCTTAAATCCATCCTCTTGAAAACATTCACGATTTTTAGGCACTTGAGGTCAGTCTGGAGTCATTGAATTACCAATCTTAGCCATCCACTCTGGTGGCAACTCATAAACAACACAACTTAAAACAGCCTGACAACGGAATAATAATATAAATATCAACTAGCTTCACGTTGGCATAAAAAGAAGAAATTCTAGGATCAGAGTCATCAGAGTCACTTTTCTCCTTTTTCTGTAATCAAAAAGAAGCCAAGGGAGCATGTATATGAACATCTTTTTTCCTAATGAAGTATAGCATACTAATGAAGATTAAATCAGAGTTGTCTCACAAAAGAAGTTTTGTAAAAGAAAAGATTTCACTCACCAGAGAAACAACTAATGTGAACAGCCAGGCATAAATAAAAAAATAGTCACCTCCAATCTTAATAATGTACAGGAGAAGTGAAGACACTGGTAATAAAATACACTGAGTCACAATAAATTTCTTGATTGCGTCTTTCATGAAGAACCCTAAGGTCTGCAAAAAAGAAAACATCATCACAAGAAACCAAAACACTGGTTTTGCTTTGTAATAAGTAAATATAAAGAATACGCAATTAAAACCATTTTAAAACTAGCAGGTAGTTGAACACAATAAGCAGCTATCTTGCACTTCAAGTTTAAATTTATTTAAATGTTATTAACTGAAATAACATGATGTATCAGGGTCATAACAATTTTGATAGCAAGATTCAAACATTCATCTTTACCATATCTACAATTCTTTTTCCAATTAATTCATGCTCTAAAATTATTAAGTAATATTTAAACTATTCCAGCAGAAGACAAAAGCACAAAGGTCTTTACTTATAAAAAAAGAATATGTGCATTCTACATTTTACCTGTTGATTGAAACCATGTTTTTCTTCTATGACAAAAGTGTTATAAAGACTCCATGGCAAACCAGTCAATGCACTGAAGAGTGTAGCCAACAGCAAAAATACCAAGGACTGGATGATCTAAAGACAAGAAGACAGGGGAAAGCCCATTTTTATGGTATAATATAATGCTTTAAATGAATTATGAGTGGATAATTCACATAACACTTGTTAAATACCTACTATCTACCAAGCTATGTGCTTAATTTTATGGAATAATAAGCAGTAAAACAATTCTTCCATGACTATATAGGAACTATATATTAAAGTTCCCTGTTGTGATCAAACTGATTCTAATTCATGATAATCCTGTATATGACAGGGTAGAACTACCCGAAGTTTCCAAAACTGTATGCTTCACAAAAGCAGACTGCCACACCTTTCTTAGCAGCTGATAAGTTAGAACAGCTGACCTTTAAGTTAGCAGCCAAGCACATAACCACTGCCCCACCAAAGCAGCTTATTATGTTTCCTTGAGCCATATATGTAAAGACACTTAAAAGAATTCAGACAAGAGAGACAACAAATTCAAGAATGTTTACAAAACAGGTTGAGACTTGGGGGGCTAAACAAAGAATAAGTTAAGGGGGCAGGATTAAATCGGAATGAGGAGGAAGAAATTCCACACAATCTAAGACAGCACTGAGAGAGAAAACAAAGTTGCATCTTATTAGAGAATCATAACAAGATGACAGGCCTGGTTGGGACCAGGGAAAGAAACTTAGAATGGAGCTACAAAAACGCTGGCCTCATGGTACAACCATTTTGGAAGGCAGTTTGGAGCTTCCTCAGAAAGCTGAACATAAAAATTCCATATGACCGGGTGGTCAACCTGATGGTTCACATGACCTCCAAAGAATAAGAGCCCCTTGGACCACCAGGCCCAGCAATAGCATTAGGAGAGACCCTCAGCTGCTGGGGAGCCCTTGCCCCAACTTGATCCTCCCACACACTGAGAATCTCACATCCTTGACACAAGTTTCCATCAAATACCCCTGAGAAAGGGGAGGGGCTTGGAGAGCCCATCTTGTCATGCACCATTAATAAAGTACACTGTACTCAGCAAAAAAAAAAAAAAATTTCATATGACCCAGCTATTCCACTACTTGGAATACACCCTGAGAACATGAGAACATGAGAACTGAGGCACAAACTGAGATTTGTACACCAATGTTCACCATCACAAGAACATGAAAACAGCCCAAATGTCTAACCACAAATTAATAGATTGAGAAATTATGGTACATTCACACAATGGAATACTATGCAGTATGCAGGAGCAATGATTTTGTAAATTATTACCTAACTTGGGAAGGACTGGAGAGCATTATGCTGAGTGAACATATCCCAAAAGGATAAATATTGTATAAAACCATTATTGTAGAATGAGTATAAGGATCCAAGAGGGATAGGAGAGGTTGGAAGCAGACGGATATGGATGGGGGGCGGGGGGAGGGGGGGGTGTGTGTGGTGTGTGGGTGTGAGAGAGAGAGAAGAATCATGGGGTTATACAATTTGATGGGGGCGGGTGAAAGAATTTGTTTTTAAAAACAATGTATTCATATTTTGTAAGTAAACTAATAGAAAATTTAAAAACAAACAAACACACTGGCCTTAGAATGGAGCTGCAAAAACACTCGCCTGCACCAGGCCCCAGGGGAGCCTCCTGTCTCCAGCCACCTGGCTCAGGGGAGTGCCATCAGGTCCCTGGGGAGAGCTACCTGCTGTGTATGAGGAATTTTATCTAAGCCACTTTCCTCCATCTCCTCCTTCAGTGCATCTGTGAGTAACACCTCCAGAGTCCTTCTCTTTGTAACTCACAAGTTTATTCTAGGTTTGCGCCCTTTTCTCATAGGTAGCCTGAACACTGAGTCTTGTTTCAGACCTGAACTCTGAGCCCAGGTCCAGAGGCAAAAAGGAAATATAATTGCCAACTAAGGAAGAGAAGATGGATAGGGACTCAAAGCTCAGTCAGTCACTCCCACTGGACTCAGCTATGTAAACACTTTATAGTCCAGAGAGTAGAAAATGTCAGGAAAATATCTTCTGAGTAAGAGGGCATACAGCTTCAACTCAAGACCACTAGCAAAGTGTTAAAGTGGGCTCTACTTCCCCTTCATCTCAACGTCCCCATTCAGCATGAAGCAGCCAGAGTCCATGCCCCATTCCCAAAGGACAAACCCACAAATGAAAAAGACATTCTCCACCACAACAAGATAAAGGTAAATAATCTAATAGAAAAATGGGCACAGGATATGAACAGACTTCACCAAAAAAGACATTCAGATGGCTAACAAGCACATGAAGAAATGTTCAAAATCCCTAGCTCTAAGAGAAATGCAAATTAAAACAACTATGAGATATCATCTCACCCCAGTCAGAATAGCAAAATTTAACAGAACAGCAAGCAACAAATGCTGGCGAGGTTGTGGAGAAACTGGAACCCTTATTCACTGTTGATGGGAATGTAAAATGGTGCAACCCCTGTGGAAGGCGATATGGTGCTTTCTCAAAAAGCTGCAAGTAGAGATACCATTTGACCCAGCAATTCCACTACTGGGAATATACCCCAAAGAGACCATAACTGACATCCAAGCAGGTATTTGCACACCCATGTTTATTGCGGCTTTGTTCACAACAGCAAGGAGTTGGAAACAACCTAAGTACCCATCAACAAATGAATGGCTAGGGAAGCTGTGGTATAGTCACACAATGGAATACTACGGTGCATTGAAAAACAAGGAACTCATGCAATATTATTCAAAATGGGTGACCCTGGAGGACATTATGCTGAGTGAAGTATCTCAGTGACAAAAAGACAAATACTACATGGTGCCACTGTTGTAAAACAGGACTGACATCAGGGTTGGGGGGAGACTGAGAAAGATGGGATAAATAATGTACACTGCACTGAAACAGTTGTGGGAGAAAACGGTTTAAAAGGGATATGTGATTAGGTATTTTTTGTCAGGACAGGAGTCCAGAGTGAAGGCTGCATAGTGGAGTGGACCTGGGGGGAGAGATTGTAAAACAAAGAATTTTTCTTTTACTTTTCCAAGAGGGTAGTGTACTTAGGGGGGAGGGTTGGGAGGGGAGAGAAGTGCAACAATGAATGAATGGAAATCCAAAGTCTCTGCAAATTTTCACTGAAATTAATAATAAATTAAACACACACACACACACACACACACACACACACACAAAACAAAAAGACAATCTCTTTGTTTAAAAAAAAATATATATATATTAATCACCATTGGATTATGCTCACCATTACCCTGTCTTTTCTGGTCCCTACTGGATCCTTCTCATTTCCTTCATTCACTCCCTCAACCCAGCAAATTGTGCAACCCTGTGATTCCAGCCTCACTTTTCTGCTCCCAACCCTTATACCCTTGGATCCCCATACATGTGTTTTACAATTAAAACAAACCCACACTGTCCTGGGGCAGGTTAAGAGGGGTATTCAAAAGCTCTCAAAAAAGGTCAAACTCAAACAGAAAATTATCTTCAATAATTCTTTTGATTGCTTTTAAATAGGTCCGCAAAGAAGGCAAAAAGCCAATTAATTACCTTGTTTCTCTGCAAATGTTTCCTGATAGTGAAGGGTTAAGTTTTAATTGATCAGAGTTGGAGGAGAGGGAAAAGACATGAAAAATAATATATTTTCTCTCCTTCAACCCCTACTCTCTCTCTTTCATTCCTCAGTGTATAACTGAATTCTGTAACGTTAAATATAAGTCTGGTGGTCGAGTGGGTAGGGAGTTATGTTGCTAATACAAAGGTGACAACTCTCTGGTGGTTCAAATCCATCAGCTGCTCTGCAGAAGAAAGACCAACAATCTCCTGCCTGTGAGAGTTACCACCTCCAAAAAACCACTGGAGGGTCAGCTAGGGTTCAGACTCATCAGCAATGAGTTTGGGGGGGAAGGGAGGTTGGTGTATTTTTTTCTATTTTTAATATACTAGATTATTTACAAAATTCAAATGCATTGTTTTTCAGACCAGATTCTTCCAATTTCCCTCACCCCACCATCCATCAAACTGGACAACTCCATGCTTTTATATCAAACTATATTTGACTTGGTAGCAAGTGTAAGTTGGTCTAAGTTTATAAACAAAGGATAAAAGGGAGTTGGGCAGAAGGAAGATCTGTCTGGCTATAACATGCAAGAAGGTTTATTCCAGCACTTGTTTACAAACCAAAAACTGGGGCAGGAAGAAGGTTCCAGGACCATCCTCAAAACTAAAGAATCAGAATCCCCTCTTTCACAAATGCAATTTGTATAAATTGTATAAGCACTTGCCTGTCTCATTTAATCACCTCTGATAAACAGCTTTCCATACCAATAAATGTCAAACTACTTCATCACTTTCAATGATTCTAGAATACTTCAGTTTATAGGTGGACATTTCCACTATAATAATAATTTCAAAACTGTAATAAATTTTTTTATACGTACATCTCCATGCACTTATTCTCTTCTCCTGCAGAGCAGCTGATGGATTAGAACCATTAGCCTTTGGTTTGGCAGCACAATTCCTTACCATTATACCAACAGAGCTATCCAAGCACTCATTCTCTATAATTTCAGGCATATGAAATATCTTGTGTCAAAGAGTATAAGCTTTTTAAAGGTTTGTGAAACTTACTTCAAAGCTATCTTCCAGAAAAAGTGAGCCAATGTTCAATCCACCATGAATGGAACTATCTGTGTCCCTACCCCTTACCAATTCTATTATTTTTACTGTTCTTCCCAACTTGCCATGGTAAGGGAAAAAGATAATTAATTACTGTTAACATGTTATCATTAAATCCTTGTTTTAAAGAGCAATTTTCAATATGGATTTACATTTTTTTCAAGTATTTAATGGTCATTTGAATTTCTGCTTTTACCTATTTTTCTAGTGAGGTACTGAACTTTTTTTAAAGGGTTTTTTTTTTCCTGTATCAAATATATAAATTTTTAAACAGTCATGTGTGGCCAACTCCCTCTCCTTACCCCATCTTGCTACTACGACTCCTGTTGTAGTCTGTTGTCTTTCTGCTACTGTCAGTCATTCTCATCTCAATCCATCCTACATATAAGGCAGATTAATCTGAAATTGTACTTCTTTATCAAACAATGTTAAAGGTTTTCTTGTATAAAATATGATGTTTTACACTTATAATAGTCTCATAATCTGACCCCAAATTTCTACTTTCCACTACTTTCTACTACTCTGTAAGAACCTTCCAGCTTGAACAGACAAACATGAACTAAAGCTTAGAAAGAAATAAAGCTAAGCAAAAAGGGGATGTAAGGAGCTCTGGTGGCTTACTGGTATGTAAGGAGCTCTGGTAGCTTAGTGGTAAGGAACTGCGCCGTCAACGCAAAGGTGGTGTTGTTATGTGCCATCAAATTGTTTGCGACTCATAGCGACCCTATGTACAAGAGCCCTAAATGCCATTCTATCCTGTGCCAACCTCGCTGTCTCAAACACATTCATTCCCATCACTTCACTCACAGAATCGATCCATCTCATCAAGGGTCTTCCTCTCCTGTGCCATCCCTCCATTCTCCCAAACATGATGTCCCTCTCCAAGGACCAGTCCCTCCTTGTAACATGTCCAAAGTATGTCAGACGAAGCTTCAGAATCCTTGACTCCAGGGTACATTCTGGCTTCACCCTCTCCAAAACAAACCTGTTTGTTCTCCTAGAAGTCCATGGTACATTCAGCACTCTTTTCCAGCACCACAACTCAAAGGCATCAATTCTCTTTCTATCATCCCTTTTCACTCCGATGCATAGCACGTAATTGCAAAGACTATAGCCTGGATCGGGCGCACCTTAGTCTCCAGCCTGACGTCACCGGACTTCAGTACAAAGGTACACAGTTCAAATCCACCAGCTGCTCTGTGATAGAAAGATGGGCAATCTCATCCTATGTGACTGATTAACTGCCTCTAAAAACCTGCTGGAGGATCAACTATGCGTCAGTTCCAACTTGATGGTACACAACAAACTGGGAAAATGTGCCTTCCTAGAGCAATATCTCTAATTCCAACTCAGAAAGAAAAACACCTTAAGAATGAGGTCTATAAGCTACACTGCAATCCTGGAGGTCTGTGGTTCGAATCCACCAGATGCTCTGCTGGAGAAGGAGGGACAATCTCCTATTTGATGATACACACACACACACACACACACAAAGAATGAGGTCTACAGACATTAAGAGGAAGAGGTTTTTAGATATTCATAAATACTAAATTAACTTGAGTAACAACTTCCCAATGGTCAGCAATTTCTTCTGTAACTTTCTTTATAATAGACTGAAATTTCATAGCCAGTGTTCTTTTTTAAACTTTCATTTTCTTTACCTAATCTTTTTGGAGGGAACTCTTCTGGTCTAGTAGGTAAGAAGCTGTACTCCCAACTCAAAGGCAGGTGGTTTAAATCCATCAGATAGTCAGCAGAAGAAAGATGGGCAAAGTCTTCCCATGTGGCAGAAAGCCTCTGAAACCTGGTTTGAGGGTCAGTTATGAGTCAGTGCTGACTCTACAGCACACAATAATTCTTTTTGGAAGTAGATTATTTCTTTCCTCCAATGCATATCTGGGTCGACTCAAACCACTAATCTTTCACAAATGGCTCAGCTCAGTAACCATCTGTACCACCTAAAGACTTTTCTATCTTTCTTGGTCAATTTCTTCTTCTGAATATGTATTACTACAAAAGGTCATGTGAAACAGAAGGCAACACAACTACTTTATTGTCTGCATATGGACTGAAAAACAAAGGCTCTGATCAATAATCATCTATAGACTTTAAATGAAGTGACATGCTTGATGCACCTCTTATTTACACAGTGATCTGTGGACTGAACAGCCAGCAGTGAAGTTTTTATTTCATGCAATTACTCACTTTGAAAAGAGTCATCATTTCAAATAAACAATCAGCAAGAGGGAAACAGAGTTGGCAATTGAAGTCAGAGAGTAGTGTCCCAACCACAATTACACGTGGTAGTTTCAGGTTTAAGGCTTTGCCTGACAATTGGAGTTCCTTCCAAGAAGAGTGGATAGTCAACTTCAGCAGCCCAGTGGAGATTCTAGCAGATACACTCTGGCATAGCCTGTTTTTGTCTGAAATACTTGCTAAGTGTGTGTAACACAGAAATACCTGCTTAGTCTATGTCCAACAACATTCATGCTTCCCCTCTCACTGCACAGAGCTGTCCCAAGGAAAGCAATATCAAGCAAGGGACTCCCAACACCCAGGTCCCTTGCATCAAGATAAGACCGAGTAATTGTTCACCAGCAAAATGTGGGTGCAAAACACAGGGATCACTTTGGAATCCAAAAACTGAAGAAAAGGGTGTGATTTCTCTACCCTCATTCTATTTGTTGGATGCAGAATATGCTGGGGTGCTCAGAAGGTGGCAGAATTATGAAATAAAGTCACTTAAACCCTCAGCTTTGCTACAGTAACCAGAATTATCCTAACCAATACTCTGTGGAAGGTAAGGACAAAGCGAAGAAGTAAGCCTGCTAACTTTAGCATAAAAGCTTGACAAGTAAAAAGACTGACTCTGACAAGCATAAGCTAATGAAATACATACCTCATACTGTGGTCCAAAGCCAGCATATCCACAGAACTTTCCAGAAAGCATCCATAGATAAGGGATTCCACCAAAGAGCAGAATAAGCTATAAAACAAAGTACACTTTGGTCATCTTTGAATAGTATAGGGAGGGAGTTCTGGTGGCCAAGTGGCAAGAAGCTGCGCTGCAATTCTGAGTAGTATAGGAAACTATCATGTAAGAACACATCATAAAAGAAAAAGGGCTATCTCTAAAGAGTAAGAGACCTATCTCACTTTGGATAAAGCAGACATGTAGATGCATGAATAGAAGCCAATTTAGAGACTATGTTTAGTCAATTAAATTTTTTTTGTCTGTACACTTAAGCCATTAATAAATTACTCTTCTCATTTATTCTTTGTGACTAAAACATATATACATATTAACTGTATTCAGTATAAAACAGGAATTAGCTTGGTCTCAAACAAAATAGTTTCATACACTGAATTTGTTCTTATCAAATGATCAGCTAATTTCCCAAGGATAAATTAGCATATTCATGTTTCTGTATTTAGCTTCTGAGACAGTTTCTTCAATGTGATTTTAAAGACTCAGAAACCTAAAGTTTCTCTGACCCAGTTCTCTGATCTATTAGTGTCACTTAGCCATTAAGTATGGAAGCTATTTAATTTTTCTGAGCCTTTGCTACCTCAGCCATAAAAGAGAAGTAATAATGCCTGTCCTTTCTACCTTAGGAGGTTGTAATAACTTTCAAAGAAAACAATAATTATAGAAATCAAATATAAAATGGCGGTTACTATCCACTCAATTATTATGAGGACTATTGCTGTTACTAGCATTAGCTAATCAGTCCAGCTTTAAGTATGAGCTACAACAAATTACAAAGCTCTCCTTTTATATATGTATTCTCACTACCTCCACACTCCCCAAGAACAAACATTTCTACAGTTACCAAGCGTAATGATCAAGCTCTTGTCTAGCACTCCTATAAAGAGTTCAATGAAATAGAGTATCTTTTCCCAGTCATTTTATTATGGTTCTTTGCGGGTAAAACAAATAACTTCAGAGATGAACATCAGAAAGGAAAAGAGGATCATGTCTAAGTTTCTCTACTATCATCTCTTTCCAACTCTCATCAATTTCCAAGATTGATTTCTCACCTGGGTCCCCGCCCCAACAGAAGAAATGCTTCAGAAAAATTAACCAAAGCTGAACATAATTAATAATAATGCTACCTTTTCTAACTTTTCTGGAAAGCAGCAGGTTTTAATAATGAAATTCAGTATCACATTAAGCAGTCTTGGGTTAGTAAAAATATAATAAATTTAAAAAACACAGAAAAGATTATTACTGTCAATAGCTATGAAACCGATGCAATTTTATTCCATACTCATCAAGAAAAATCCTATAAGCAACTAGACAATGATATTATCATTTAACAAAGTTACATGGCCAGTTTCTTTTCTTTAACGCAAGAAACAATGACAAGGCTGATCTCAATTATTTTTTATTTATGACTCTTTCTCTGAGTAGCACTGCTGTTGTTAGGTGCCACCGAGTTGAATATGACTCACAGTAACCCCATGAACAATGGATCCCAAACTTGCCCTATCCTGTGTCATCCTGTACCTGAGTAGTACTGGGGGAGGGGGGGGTCTAAAAAGAATTCTAGACAAAAACAATAATAATAATAAATAAAAAAGGATTCTAGAGGAATAATAATGATGAATATAATCATGATGATAAATGTAACAACACCCAGAACAGAACACTGATTCAAGCACCATTCTAAGCCTTCTATGTATAGTAATTAATTTAATCTTCAACCCTATTTTCATTGTGCCATTTTTATGGAAAAAATAAGACACAGAAATGTTGAAGGACAGTGTGGGCAAGCTGAGATTTAAACTAAACCACCTGAATTCAGAGTCTGCCATTAACTTCTACACCATTCATTCTCAATATGGGTAACAGAGCCTCTAAGGGAGCAAGAGTTAGTTCCTGAGGATGAAAAAATCTTACTCTGTTTTATATATACTGTGCATAAATAAATACACAGTATGGGTATTGCATTAAATTTCATGGAGGGAGTGATTAAGAAGAACATATCTAAAAAGAATCCTGAAAGAGAAAGATAATGACAAAAAAGTTTGAGAGTTACAACTCTGGAAGGCAGTTTGGCATTTCCTCAAAAAGCTGAACATAAAAATTCAATATGACCCAGCTATTCCACCCTGAGAAAACTAGAACTGAGACATAAATGGAGATTTGTACAACAATCTTCACAGCAGTGTTATTCACCATCGTAAGAACATGGAAACAGTCCAAATGTCCAACCACAATGGAACAGATTGAGAAATGGTGGTAGATTCACATGATGAATTACTACATAGCACGCAGGGGCAAAGATTTCAAAAAGTAATACATAATCTGGAAGGGATTGGAGAGTACTATGTTGAGTGAATGAACTCAGTCTCTTAACTACAAATACCATATAAGGCCATTATTGTAGAAACAATAACTAGTAAAACATGTATGAGGATCCAAGGAGGGGAATGGAGAAGGCAGAGTGGTGAGGATGGACGGGGGAAAATCATAGGGTCACACAATTTGGTGTGTAGAGGGAGAGAGGGGTAAAGGAAATGGGAACAATCTGGCAAAGATCTTGAAAGACAGGGCAATGGTAAGCATTGTTCAACGGTGATTAATTTTATAAAACATAATGAATGGAATGATTGTATGAAACACAATGTATATGATCTCTGAAAGCAAACCAATACAAGATAAAATTTTTTTTAAAAGGTTGAGAGATATGGCCTCCCTTCATCTAGAACAGGAGTAGGGTTAACACTATTTTGCTAAGTAAAAACATTGTTTTTACACTGATTTTACATTGATTGTTTCATTCATTCAAACATCAATAAATAAAAATATTTTTCACATTAATTTCTTATTTTTCATATCAATGAATAGGAATTATGGGCTTACTTTATGCTAGGCACTATGTGGACAACGGTGAACAAGACCTTAAAGTACCCTTTCCTTAAGGAATTATCCATCTGTCAACTAACAGGGAAATTCAGTATAATATGACAAGTAAAGATACAATAGGATGCTACCTAACCCAAACTTGAGAATAAGGAGTTTCAAAAGGTCTCCCAGAAGAAATGATTTCTTATCTCCATCCTAATGGATAGGGAGCTCTGGTGTCCTAGTGGCAAGAAGCTGTGCTGCAATCCCAAAGGGAGCAGGTTCGAGGCTACCAGCTGCTCCATGGGAGGAGGACGGGCAATCTACTCCTGTGTGATAACTGCCTCTGAAAAACTCCTGGAGGGTCAGCTATGGGTCTGTTCTGACTCTACGGTACTCAACAACACATCCTAATGGATGAGGAGGGGTTAACCAGGATCCAGTCAGTAGGTAGAGATGAAGAAGGGAAGGGCGTCCAGGCAGAAATGTTAGCATATGAAAGTGACTAAAACTGGGAGGTGGAGAGAAACAGAAACAATAATTAGGAGAATGGATGAAAAAGATTATATATATATGGTTAACAGTTTGCGAAGGCCCTCGTAAGTCATGCCAAATGGCTTGGGCTTTTACTTAAGAAAACAGGAGGCCATTCAAAGGTTTTATATGGGAGAATAGTGCGATCAAAATTGTGCTTCTGAAAGATTATTCAGATTGCAATATGAAGGATGAGTTAGAAGTTACAAGAGTAACATACAACACAAATTATGGTTTTTATCACCCCTGGTCTCAGGATGATGATTAACAAAGTCTAGAATTTTCAGCTGACTAAACAGTAATGATTCTACTTCTTTTAATCCAGACCCAGTCTTATCAACAAGAGTTTGGAAAGCATTCTATGATCTGTAGGTATCACAAAATGTAGGACTATACTACAAAGTATTAAAAAGTTTAAGAAGTTTACTTCTCTTCAAGAAGTAAATTACTCACCGTGCCTTCAATTTCTGAGTACAGTCCTGACCAGAAGCTGAAAGTACTTTTATCCAGCTGATATAGTCGCGATTTCTCAAATGTTTCTGAATCCATAATCTGTCCTAATTCCATTGGTACATGAGTTGTTGTTTTATATATCCTTCTCTGAAATATTTTGAAGACATTTGTAATTTATTATGATAATCACTACAATTAAACATTACATGTTGTTGATGGGTGCTATCCAGTCTACTATGATTCATACCTACCCTACGAACAACAGATCAGAACGCTGCCCTATCAGAATGCCAGAATACTCCATCCTCAGGATTTCTGCCATTCTTGAGCAGAAAAAACTCTGGTAACTATGTTAATCCATCTCATTGAGGGTCTTCCTCTGTCTCTGACCCTCAATTTATCTAACACATCTTTTTCTAAGAAGTGGCCCCTCATGGTAACATGCCCAAACTACAGGAGACAAAGTTCCAGTGTCTTTGCCTCTAAGAATTATTCCTGTTGCATATCCTTCAAGATGGATTTGTTTGTCCTTTTGGCAGTCCATGGGATATTCAGTATCCTTCTCCAACACCACAATTGAAAGATCAGTATTTTTCAGTCCTCCTTGAAACATTGATGCATTCATAGTATTTGTAAATCTACTGAATTTGTTTTATACGAATACAAATACTGTATTTTATCAAGTACAATGACAACAGAAACAAGTAATAAAAGTGAAAAATAAAAGAATCTGAGAACTGACTGGATAAAATTAAAATCAGGGTTATCATTATCATAGACTGTATAACAAAATGGTAATATCACAAAGTGTACTGCTTATTCCATGTATTACTAACGTTTATAAAGTAGTCCATAGGGACTCAAGCTAGTTATCCACACATCATGCCCTCTGTTGATTCGGACCCTCCAGCAAACTACAGATAAAAGATGGGCAATCTCCTCCCATTAGATTTACAGCCTTGGAAACCCAGCGAGAGTCAGCTATTAGTCAGTTCCAACTCAGTGGCAATGAGCTGAGTTGATAAAACAGAAAATACATGAAAAGGTAAGAAAGCAAATATGATAAATATGAGCATGCTAGATACTGGAGCTTCCCAACTAAATCAAGCCTGGAAGCAGGAGCGGCATCCACTTCCAAAATGGCTTGCCTCCGGAAACTCTATGTACGAACAGTGCTCAGGCTGTTCGTTCATAGGGTCGCTATGAGTCGTCTACGACTCGACGGCATTAAACAAACAACAACAACAGATACTGTGGTACTGTGCTGGTCTTTAAATATGGTCCTAAGGTTTCTGCAAGCCAAATTAAGGGAAATTGGAGGACCTTTACTAGTGCTTCAAGAAAGCTAAACTTTTACATGATGCTAAATACTAAAAGGTACTTCCAGTCCATGCGGCATAATTTAGGGATAGACTTCAATCAGTATTAATAATCAGCATCTTTTTCAATGGTTTTACAACAAATGTTCTTTATATAGATTCTGATTCTTACCAGTCCTCAAAACAAACAAACAAAAACCCTCAAGACATAAAAATGTTAAAGCATAACTCAACAAGAGACACACACTACTGAAATGCAGATACTGTAACGACCCTTATTATTGTGAGAGAAGGATGGACAATCTCCTTCCAAGCAATTTACTGCTTCTGAAAACCTGCTGGAGGTGAGCTATGGGTTGGTTCCGACTGGACCACACACAACAAGTTTCATTAAAGGAAACCGGACAGAGAGCTCTAGTGGTCTAACAGCAAGTAGTTGAGCTGCAATCCCGAAGGCACGCGGTTCGAAACCACCAGATGTCTGCTGGAGGAGGCGGGTAAATCTCCTCCTGTGCCAGTCGGATCCAACTCGATGGTACACAAAAAGGAAAAAAAAAGACAAAACCCTAAAGACAGATGCATGTTCAATGCACCACAAACCAATACAGGCATTTTATGCATAAGGTCTTCTCTAATTCTACAGAATTCCCTTCTAATGAACCTATCCAAAGAGCTATGTAAAGAAAGGCATACACCTTTGAATACCCAGGGTTAAAAGAAAAAGTCAAGACCTAGATGTCAGTCCTTTCTGCAGGGTTCTCACTCAAAGTAACCCTCTGTCCAGTTTCCCAGTCTGTAAATTTTTGTAAGAGGAGACTGTTCATTTTTCTCCTGCTTAACAGTTGATGGTTTTGAACTGCCAATCTTTAAGCTGGCAACCTGATGGGTTACATACTATACCACTGGTACTTACACAGCAATAGATAAAACAAAAGCTTTTTCATATAAAGACTCATAGAAAGTAAGAGGTAAACAGAGTAAGAAATTAACAAAGGGAAAAGGTAGTGATTTCAAAAGGAAAAAAAGATTAAAACAGAAAGGTTTTCCATAATCATCAATAACCATCGTATGGGTGACATAATTCAGCGACAGCTAAGAGTGATGGTGAACAAGCCAGAAGTAAAAGGGTCAATTAAAGCTAAAATCCACCTCATTTAAAAGTTCAGATCCCTAGTATATTACAACTACCTTTGTAGAGTTGTTATCAAGTAACTTTCATTTATTTTTTTAACAAAAATAATAAAGACATTTTTTTAAAAAATTGTTCTTGGGACCAAAAAGACCCCCTACACTTATAATTTATATAAAGAAATAAAATAGTTCCGGTTCTTAGAAGAACTGCAAAATCTTTATTTTCCCCCATCCTGTGATCGAATCTTGATTACACAAATGCCATGGTGAAGTTGCAATTCGGAAAATTAGCATTTTCTAGGGTCGTGGCGAAAGGTAGGCTAAATCTGGGCAGAAGAATCAAGCTTGAGCTCTGGGAGGAGAGTCAAGCTTAACAAATCGGCAGTCCTTCCTTCCCTTTCTCCAGGCCTCAACGAGGCAGGGTCTCAAGATACTCTTGTCAAGAACGATCCTGTGCACTAACAGCCCTTCAAGACACAGCTTGCCTCAAGGCCAAAGTATGAGGTGTACTAGAGACTACAGGACCCAAGACTGGGGTCCAGGCCGATGCTGGCCTTGGGCTGGCCAGGTGTGGGGGTCAGAGGGGCTCTGTGCACGCTCACCTGCCTCTGTGCTAGAAACGTCTCCCAAAGATACACTGTCCAAGAGAATAGCAACACGAGCCCGAATATCCGCTTCTCGGCTGGCATGTCCCACATCGCGTCAAGAGACCACATCCCCATGGCCACCGGGATCCGCCGGCTCCACCGGCGTGCGCCAGTGCCACACCAATACCCGTCCCCCCAGCGAGCTTTGCAGTGTCACAATTATATCGGTCCCTTCCGCGCGCCCCTACACGGACACCAGTCCCCATCCCAGCCCTCTGAGCAACCGGTAGTGTCACACAAATACCGTCCCCCTGCACCGCTCCTCACAGAGTTTCCTGGTTTCTGCCGGAAAAGGAACACCCCAGCCTTCCTTATTTCCGGCCTGAAGAAAGCCGAGGTCCTATCCGCGAGGTTTCCGCTTTCTTAGTCTCGGAAACTCCCACTTGCTCTGACTGTGCTGATTTGAGCGTGTGACACCCACCTTCTCTTCGTTCCCCTTTACTTTGGCTTCCAGCAGAGAGTACTAGACTCCCTCCTGGGCACTGCAGCGCAGCAAAATTCTCCGTTTTGGGGTCCCTGGGGCATCATTTCTATTCAAGCTTTGCCTTCTGGGTGGACTCAGTCCCACTGTTAATGGGGCTATGTGGGAAGTTATAAAGTGCGCCGTCACTCACGCCCTAAAGTAGCTAAGGGGAAAAAAAATTTATAAAAGGTTTGTAAATTGGGCGTAAATTGCCCATCTGTCTCCAGAGTAGTAGCTGATGGATTAGAACCTCGTGCTTTTGCGTTGGCAGCGCAACTCCTTAGCTACCACCACCAAAGTCTCTAGACTCTAAAAAGGGTTACTCTAAACCAGTCCTGTTCAAACTAGAGTATGTTCAGTATCTTGGGAGATAACAGGAATAAAAAAAAAAAAAAGAGCAAAACAAAACATTGTAAGCGAAGTGTTATGGCCTTTGTCGGGAAGTTCTGAATTCAAGAATATTAAAGTAGACAGTGCTGTTAATGTGCCGTCGAGTCGCCTGCAATCCATAGCGACCCTATGTAAAACAACAGCTTTAAAGCCTGCCCTGTCCTGAGCCAGTCTCAGTGATTCAGATACACCAACCCCAGTTATCCTAGTAATTGTGTCAGTCCATCTCATGCTGGGTCTTCCTCTCTTGTGCTGTCCTTCCACCCTTAAGCATGATGTCCTTCTCCAGGGGCTGGTCCCTCCTGGCTACGTGCTCAAAGCATGTGAGACAGCTTTAAAATCCTAGCCTCAAAGGAGAAACTTGGTTTCATCCTCTCCAAGACGAACCAATTTGTTTTCTTGACGGTCCATGGTATGTTCAAGACTCTTCCAGAACCACAACTCAAAAGCACCGATTCTTCTTGTCATCCCTAGTCATTGTTCAGCTCTCTGATTCATAGCAAGTAGGCAATAGTGATGATGAAATTATTTTGTTGAAAGATCTCCCATCCACCCCAGATGTACTCTAGGCAAGAAACTCTGCTACAATCCCAAATGTAGTCTAGGCTGCTTTTACCTAATGGACCGTACCCTGTAGAAAACCCATTGCTATTGGATTGATTCTGACTCAGCAGTTTGCCAATGGGTATTCGGGGCTGTAAATTTTTTTTTTTAGTAACATTTTTATTTTATGCTGGTTTGCTTACAAAGTTCATATACATTACGTTGTTTTTCACACCGGATCTTTCCCATTTTCTTTATCTACCCCTCCCTCTACCCATCAAATTGTGTGACCCTATGATTACCGGGCTGCCCATCCTCACCCTTCTATTCCTACCCTTCCCCCCTTGGATCCTCATACACGTTTTACTAGTTATCTTTCAATTTCTACAATAATAGTCTTATATAGTATTTGTCCTTATGGGACTGAGTTAGCTCACTTAGCATAGTGCTCTCCAGTCCTTTCCAAATTATATAGTGATTTTCAAAACCATTGCTCCTGGATGCTGCATAGTATTCCAACATGTGACTGTACCACAATTTCTCAATCCGTTCACTTGTGGTTGGACATTTGGGCTGTTTCCATATTCTTGTGATGGGGGAAAACTCTGCCATGAACATTGGTACATAAGTCTTTTGTGCCTCAATTCTAATTTTCTCAGGGTATATTCCAAGCTGAGCCTGTAAATATTAACTTGAAAAGACTGCCTATCTATCTTTCCTAATGCTAGGAAAACTGGTTAGCAATACATGAAAAAAGACCTTCATCTAGGAGACTAATTCTTAGAAAGGCTCTGAGCCATGTCTGTCTTGGAATTCAGAAGTAAAATTTAGTCAAGGGTGATTAATTGTCTTGAAAAATAAAGTTAAAATTTTTCAGGGCAAAAAACTAGTTGTAGTCAACTGGTTTGATAAAGATACTGGCCTTGCTAATTTGACATGACTAGCCTTTTCAATAAATTAGGCTAATACTAAAGCCGCAGAGTTCTGGCTACAGTATATTTAGTGATACTGTAAAGCTAATAATGTGTTGAAATTAACAGTATTTCAAATATCCCAGCCCTTCAGAAATGACTTTGAGAGTTATTAGTATAATTAAATGTCACTTGAGAAAAGAATGACTAATAACAGGATAACATTCTTTTGTAAGTCAGATGGCTTCCAATTCTTGCTTTCAACAAAATTAATAGTTGGACTTATTTGAATTGTCAACTGATGGATCCTTGGAAATAAATATTATGAACACTATAACTCAGAAGGAAATCAAAGAACTCATTTAGCAAAACTACTAGACTACTAGCATTCTGATCTATTTATTTAAGGGAATAATATTTTCACTCCTTTCTGTGAAAACAATATTGAAACTGAGTCCTATTTACATAACAGTAAGGAACACATGGATACATTAATTGTGTTGTTGGTTGCCTTTGAGTCGAGCACGACTCATAGCAACCCTATGAACAAAAGGCCTGAAGCCCCTCTATAACTATCGACATTTATCAAAGTTCATAGAGTTTCCAGAGGCGTGTTGTTTAGGAAGCAGATGCCACTCCTGCTTCCAAACCTGTCATAAAATGTTTTTGGTTGAATTAGTTGGGAGGAAAGCACCATACAACTGGAAGATGAATTTCCAATAAAGTTTTACTTTTTTTTTAATATGATTGTCTTAAAATGGAAATGAAGCTTTAAGTCTTTGACACTCCATCTTTGTGACACAAAAAAATTAAGACATTGATTTCAAAAGATTGCCTGGCACTCCTTCAGCAATGCAGTAACAAACTTCTCACCTATACTGTCAGATAAAGTGTGTTAGGCACCATGGGTTGTGGAAATTATTGAACATTAATTAATATCACATGTAAGCAAGATTCTGCTGAAAATTATCCAAAACTGACTGGAACAGCCATCAACGGAGAACTGTCAGAAGTGCAGGCTGGGTTTGGAAGAGGCTGTTGTGCTAGGGATATAGCTAATGTTGGATGGATCTTTGCTGATAGGAGAGAGCACCAGAGGAATGTCTATCTGCGTTTTATTGACTATGCAAAGGCCAAAGACATTTGACTGTGTGGACCACAACAAACTGGCTAACTCAGGAAAATAGGAATCTCAGAACACTTGATCATGCTTATGCAAAAACTCTTCTTGGAACAGGAGGTAGTCATCAGAACAGAGCAAGGAAACACTGCATGGTTAGGAAGGGTATATGCCAGGGATGTGACCTATCTCCATACCTTTTCAACCTATATGTAGAACAGATTACCCAGGAGGCTGGGCTCTATAAGGAGAAAAGTGGCATCAGTATTGGAGGAAGACTCATCAACCTACATTATGCAGATGACACAACCTTGCTTACTGAAACTAAGGAGGACTTGAAGTGCTTGCTACAGAAGGTCAAGGACTGCAGCCTTCAGTGTGGATTAAAAACCATCAAGAAAACAAAGATCCTTAACACTGGGCTAATTGGCAGCATCATGATAGATGGTTAAGAGATTGAGATTGTTAATAGCTTTAGTTTACTTGGCTCCACAGTCAACACTCATGGCACCAGTAGCCAGGAAATTAAAAGATGAATTGCATTGGCAAAGTCTGCTGTCAGAGACCTCTCCAAAGTACTGAGAAACAACAATGTCAGTCTGGAGACAAAAGTGTGCCTGATTCAGGCCATAGTCTTTGCAATTACTTGAAATGCATCAGAGAGCTGGACAATGAGTAGGGATGATAGATGGAGAATTGATGCCTTTGAGCTGTGGTGCTGGAGAATGGTATTGAATATACTGTGGACTGCCAAGAAGACAAACAAGTTTGTCCTAGAGAGGGTGAATCCAGGCTTTTCCTTGGAGGCAAGGATTCTTGGGCTTCATCTGATCTACTTTGGACATATTGCAAGGCAGGACCAGTCCTTGGAGAGGGACATCATACTTGGGAAGGTGGAGGGACAGTGCAAGAGAGGAAAATCCTCAATGAGATGGATTAATTCAGTAACTGGGGTAGTGGGGGGTAGATGTGGCAGAGGCAGTAAGATTGGCACAGCATGGAGCAGGGTTTAGGGGTGTTGTACAAAGGGTCGCTACGAGTCCCTGGTGACTCGATGGCACATAGCAACAACAACAATATATAGTAAAATGAAACCCTGCCTAATCTTTTGCCATCCTCACAATCTCTGTTCTACATAAGGGCATTGTTGCAGTCACTCGATTCTATCTTATTGAGGATCTTCCTCTGTCATATGTACTCCCATTGACCCAGTCACTGAATCAATCCACCCCATAGAGGGTCTTCCTCTTCTGCACTGTCCCTCCACCCTCCCAAGCTTGACGGCCTTCTTCAAGGACTGGTCCCTTCTTGCAGCATGTCAAAAGTATGTCAGATGAAGCTTCAGAATCCTCCAAGGAGCAGCGTGATTTAACCCTCTCTAGGATGAACCTATTCATTTTCTTAGCAGTCCATGGTATATTCAATACTCTTCTCCAACACCACAGCTCAGCCTGGCTTTAGAAGGAGTTGTGGTACTAGGGATATTGTAGCTAATGTTAGATGGATCTTGGCTGAAAGCAGTGAGTACCAGAGGAATGTCTATCTATGTTTCATTGATTATAAAAAAGCTTTTGACTATGTGGATAATAACAAAACTGTGGCTGATTCTGAGAAGAATGGGAATCCCAGAACACTTGATTGTGCTAATGCAAAACCTAGACTTGGACCAGGAGGCAGTCGTCAGAACAGAGCAAGGAAACACTGCATGGTTCAAAATTGGGAAGGCTGTACGCCAGGATTGTGTCCTATCTCCATATCTTTTTAACCTATTTGCAGAACAGATTATCCAGGAGGCTGGGCTCTGTGAGTAGAAGTGTGGTGTCAGGATTGGTGGAAGATTCATCACCAGTCTGCGTTATGTAGATGACACAACCCTTCTTGCTGAAACTGAGGAGGACCTGAAGCACTTGCTACAGAGGATCAAGGAATGCAGCTTTCAATATGGATTGAGGCTCAGTGTCAAGAAGACAAAGATTCTCACCACTAGGCCAATTGGCAGCATCATGATAGATGGTGAAAAGATTGAGATTGTTAACAGCTTTAGTTTGCTTGGCTCCGTAGTCAACACTCTTGGCACCAGCAGCCAGGAAATTAAAATATGTATTGTGATGTGATGGGAAAGTCTGCTGTTAGGAACTTCTCCAAAGTACTGAAGAGCAGTGGTGTCACTTTGGAGACTCAGGTTCCCCTGATACAGGCCATGGTCTTTGCAATCACTTGCTATGCATCAGAGAGTTGGACAATGACTAGGGAGGACAGATGGAGAATTGATGCCTTTGAGCTGTGGTGTCATATATAAATGCCTCTAATCCTGCTTCATTGGCATCCAAGGGTTAGACTTTACAACATGCAAGGAAGTTACATTATGCAGAGCATTGTGTTCACATTGATTTCACACCACTACTCGTGCCAGGTTTGCTTGAATACCATTCCTGAAGCAGTGGGATGTCCAAACCAGACTTAAATCTACCTTCTTCCCCGTCCCCCCGCCCCCGCCCTTTTCTCACACGCGTAGCAGTATGTTGTACACCTCATGGGAATTTTTACTTGGCATTTCTCTGATCAGCAGTGATGCTAGAAATTTGCACATATACTTAAAACACCACTTGTCATTCCCCCCACCCCCACCCCGTGAGTTGTTATTTCTTATTCTTCTCCAAAGTTTTTCCTTTGGGGCTTTTGGTTGTTTGTTATTGACTTTCAGGTGCATTTCATTCATGAAGGAATAAAGCTCTTATCTATACTAAAGCATATAGAAGCTAGATAATGAGGAAGGAAGACCAAAAAAGAATTGAAGAGCAGGAAAAACACTGCATGGTTCAGGATCAGGAAATGTGTACATCAGGGATGCATCCTATCTGCATACCTTTTCAATCCATATGCAGAACAAATCATTCAGGTGGCTGGACATTTTGAGGAGAAATGTAGCATCAGTACTGGAGGAAGACTCATCAACAACCAACGTTATCAATTGGACAATTAAAACAGACTTTCAAGGGGGGAGAAAAAAGAAGAACGAACTGGAGAGGAGGGTAGAGAAAATAGTGCAACAATGAATGAATGAAAACCCAAAATCTCTGTAAATGTTCATTAAAATTAATAAAATTTAATAATAAAAACAACCAACGTTATGCAAATGATATAATGTAACTTGCTGAAACTGGGGAGGACATGTGGCATTTGCTGCAGAAGGTCAAGGACTTTAGCCGTCAATATGAACTGAAGCTCAACATCAAGGAAACAAAGATTCTCACCACTGGGCCAACTGGCAGCTTCATGACAGACGGAGAAGAGATTGAGATTGTTAATAACTTCAGCATGCTTGGTTCTACAATCAAAACTCTTGGTACCAGCAGTCAGGAAATTAAAAGAGGAGTTGCATTGTGAAAGTCTCCTGTCAGGGACCTCTCTAAAGTACTGAAAAACAACGATGTCAGTCTGGAGACAAACAGGTATGCCTGATTCAGGCCATCGTCTTTGCAGTTACTTGCTATGCATCCAAGAGCTGGGCAGTAACTAAGGTGGATAGAAGAAGGATCTATGCCTTTGAGTTGTGGTGCTAGAGAAGAGTGTTGAACATACAGTGGACTTCAAGCAGAGCAGGTCTGTCCTTGAGGGTGAAACTAGGCTGCTTTCTGGAGGCAAGGACACATTCACACCTTTGCTTGAGTTTAGCTGTCTTTTTTTAAGTTCACTACCAAGTATCTCAACTTGTGGTTGGCTGTTGAAAATGGTATTTCTTTCTTTTTTTTTTAATTAAATTTTTTTATTATTAATTTCAATGAAAATTTACAGAGACTTTGGATTTCCATTCATTCATTTTCTCCCCGCCCACCCCTCCCCTCCAGTACACTACCCTCTTTGAAAAGTAAAAGAAAAATTCTTTCGTTGTTTTACAATCCCTCCCCCCAGGTCCACTCTACTATGTAGCCTTCATTCTGGACTCCTGTCATGACAAAAATACCTAGTCACATATCCCTTTTAAACAGTTTTCTCCCTCATCTATTTCAGTGCAGTATACATTATTTATCCCATCTTTTGCAGTCTCCCCCCAAACCCGATGTCAGTCCTGTCTTTTCCTATCCAGCTACCTCTGGTCTCCACATGCTGACTAGTCACCACAATCCCAGAGATATTCTTAACCATCACGAGCAGTAAACTTCACACTACCCCACCAAACACACAAGCACAAGCTGGGCCACATTGGATAGAAATCCAATCTTTGCAAGATAATTTCAATATAGTTAGTTCTCTGTATTTATTGATTATACCAATGAGCACATAAGGGAAATCATGCTTTTCTAGAAAAAGAGAAGTAGAGTCCGTCAGATTTCAGAAGTGGAAGTAAACCCTGATGTGGCCAAGGGGCTCTGGCAGTCGGAGCAGCTGCAGTAGTGCTCAGAGGAACGGTCTCTCTTCATTGTAGGTTTCTGAGAAATGATCATCCCCTCTAGGTCCTTCACTTTGTTTTCCACTGTCTGGAGCTTTTTCAAAATCTTCTCTTGCAGACCCAAGGATAGGAAGAAATTTTTATTGTCTTTAGTTGAGAAAATCTTCCCTTCTGTGTTGGCCGTCAAAGCCTGAAAAAAATCTGAGCCCTTCTTATAAAGTTTGTAGAGTGTGATTACAAACAACAATATTCTCTAAAAGAAACAATAGAGGTTAAGTGTTATTTGTTTAATCATGTGAAATTAACAGTCCCTCATAGATATAAAACAAGACACCAAATAGTTCCTCACTCTTGTACCAAGTCTTCCATTTAACACAACATCTTCACACCAGTTGCCTCTTTTCATCTTCACCACAAGTTGGGGCTGTAGACAAGGATTAGTATTTGCATTTAACCAATTTAAGATTATACTAGTTGATACTATTTGCTGTAAATTCTGTCATGTACTGAGTTCTGTATTCAGAGTGACCTTGCCTATGCAGAACCTAGTTATCCTAAAGGACAAACTAAACAACTATTTAGACACTTTCCACTTCAGACTCTCATAACACAGGATCATGTACTTAGAAGTGGTAGAGACAGAATTGGAATCCAGGTTTCTGACTTCTAAGTAGACTAAGTTATTTGAGAAACTACATTCTTGCTTATGAAAAAAAAATTTTTAATATGTTGAGACGGATTCCTGCCAGGATAATGATAAACCTATCATCTTGCTCTTTATCATAATTTTTAGCACCATTTTTTTAGTGTTTATTACATTCAAGTCATTATACATAGACAATTTCTTTTAATCTTTGCAAAAATCTATGATGGAGACACTATTAGCAAGTCCATCCTACAATGAAAAAACTGAGATTTAGAGGTTTAAGTGATTAATTATAGGTCACAAAGAAAACAGATTCTAGAGGCCATGCTTTATATAGACTACCTCTTTTTCTTGGCTATTCGGGGAGAGCCATAAATTCATCTTTAAGATTGAGCTAAACATTTCCAAACAAGTGCATAACCCACATCTACAGATAAGTGTTGCTTTGTGAGCCTATGTACATATACACATTGCTAATGAAGATTTAGGTCAATTCCAGTTTAATGAGATTTTGGGGAAGCACTGAATTTGGAATCCCAAAAGATTGGGTTCAGATTCCAACACTGTTAGCTCTTACAAACAAACTAGAGAAACTTAAGTAGGTGATAACCAAGTTCCCTCACCTAAAAATGCTAATGATAACTTTTCTCTGCATTTACCAAGCCTTTCTTAAATCATGCCTCCTCAAGTTTCCATTGATTCTCAATAAACCAAAGCTTTTCACATTTGCCAATGTGAAAATGACAGGGAATTGTTGGAAGTCTTGAAGCACTTTGATTTGATCACTATTATTTTCAAAAACAAGAACAAACCTAACTCACAAACTCATTGCCATAGAGTCAGAACAGACTCATAGCTGAGCCTCCTGTGAGCTGTAGGAGACTACAGCACATAGGAGGAGATCTCTCATTTTTTTTCCTGCTAGCAGATTCGAACCACCAGAGAGACGACACCTTTGGGTTAGCAGCACGGTTCCCTATGAACTACACCACTGATTTAAAGAAGCATGTAATAGCCTATATGTTTCTCATAGTTCAGTCAATTATAGTCCTTTCCCAAATACAGCCCCTGTATACTGATGACGTATTTAACACAAAGAAATCATTAATACAGTGCACCCTCTTAAAGATTTCATGTCTCCACATCAGTCACAGAGGACAGAGGTCAAACCCAAGAGGCAAAGTACATACATGATGCCTGTCCTATAAAAAATACACCTATGTCTGACATGTGGTAGGCATTCAAAGATGAAGGTTATAAAATAAATTTAGCACTAAGGTTGCTTTCTCAGTTTATAAGCTTGTTTTATTATAGCTTACAAACCAAAGACCATTGTGAGAAAGCAGTTTTATGATCAAAACCTAATTGGTGAGGCTTTCAAGTATAACTTCATTTCAAGCAATTTAAGAGACACATTTCAAGACCCTTGGTAACTTGCATGGTTTTAAAACTAGATGGTGGTTAAATGGAGAGAGAACTAATCAAATTTTAATTTTTAACTACTTAAATTTCTCGATAACAAAAGAGTTTAACCTGAATTGAGTGAATACTTCTTTTCGATAAGGCATATAATCCTATTATCAACAAAACAAAAAAGGAAATTCTGAGGAAAATTTGTACAGTCGGAGCAATATTACGTAGTATCCCCAAATTTGTTCGCTGGGGCTCACTAGACTCTCCCAGAAGAGTTGCTTGTAGCCAGTTCCATATTCCACTCAGAGAGAGATACTCTATGAAGTCTTCCCAGGAAGATGAAGGTGGAAGTGTTGACATTTTAATAAGATACAAGAAGCTTCTAGAAATACATGTTCAGAGACTTTAGGAAACTGGGTCTGAGTTAGGGCGTGTGGCCTGGAAACCAGGTGTTCTACCACCACTGTGAGTTGTGCTTTGTGATGTCATGGTTCCAAAGGTCAACTTGCTCCTCACTCATCCAGATAATCTTCTTACTCAAAAGCAGCAAGTCTCTGTAAAGTTTCATTAAAATTAATACAAGAAAAAAGAAAAAATTTACAATAAAAAGAAGAAGAAGAATACCTCCAAAGAGCACTCTGGCTGCACCCTCTCCAAGACATATTTGTTTGTTCTCTTTCTCTTGGCCGTCCGTCCATGGGATGTTCAGAGCTCTTCTCCAACACCACAGCTCAAAGGCATCAATTCTTCTTCTGTCATCCTGATTCATTGTCCAGCTTTCAGATGCATAGCAAGTGATCGGAAAGAGCATGACCTGAATCAAACATACGTTAGTCCTCAAACCGACATCACTACTCCTCAATAATTTGGAGACTTTTCTGCAGATTTTCCCAGTGCATTATGTCACCTGATTTCCTAACTGCTGGTACCAAGGGTGTTAATTGTGGATTCAACTAAGAACAAGTTGTTGACAGTTTCAATTTCCATTGATCATGATGTTGCCTATTGATCTAGTGGTAAGAATCTTTGTTTTCTTGACAATGAGATACAATCCATACAGAAGGCTGCATTCCTTGATCTTCTACAACAAGTGCTTCAAGTTCTCCTCACTTTCAGAAAGCAAGATTGTGTTATCTGCATAACATAGGCTATTGAAGATTCTTCCTCTAATCCTAATGCCACATTTCTCCTCCTACAATGTAGTTTCTCAGATAATTTACTCAGCATGCAGATTTAATAGGTATGGAAAAAGAATACAACCTTGACACACTCCCTTCTCAATTTTTAACCATGCAGTGTTCCCCTGCTCTGTTCACACAACACCCTCCTAGTCCAGGTATAGGTTTCACCTGAGCATAATTAAGTGCTATGGGATTCCCATTTTTCTCAGTGTTAGCCACAACCTGTTATGATCCACACAGTCAAATACATATTCAATAAATTATGACATTTAATATATTGCATAGTCAATAAAGCACAGATATTCTTCTGGTATTGTTTCTTTTCAGCCAGGATCCATCTAACATCAGCAATGATGTCTCTGGTGCCATGGCTTCTAAATCCTGCTTGAACTTATGGCAGTTCTCTATATATTGTGGAAGACATTTTTGAATAATCTTCAGCATTATTTTGCTTACATGCAATATTAATGATATTGTTTGATAGTTTCCACATTGAGTTGGATCACCTTTCTTGAGAATGGGAACAAATATGGACCTCTTCCAATCCATTGGCCAGACAGCTGTCCTCAAAATTTCCTGCCATAGACTGGTGAGCGTATTCAAGACTGTATCTATTAATTGAAATATCACACGGATTTCTAGGGCTTTATTTTTTGCCAATACCTTCAGTGCAGCTTCCACCTTCTCCCTCATTACCATTCGCTCTTGTTCATATGGTACTTCCTGAAATTTTTCAATGTCAATCAATTTTTTTTGGTACAGTGACTCTGTGTATTCCCTTCATCTCCTTTTGATGCTTTCTGGGTCATTCAGTATATTACCCATAGCATCTTTGAATTTTGTGACTCCAAGCTTAAATTTGTTTTTCCATTTTCTCAGCTTGAGAAATGCAGAGTGAGTTCTACCCTTTTTGTTCTCCAATTCCAGTTCTCTGCACATTTCATTATAATACTTTGTTCTCCCAATCTGCCCTCACTGTTTAATAGAACTTATTTTAAAAAACAGTTGGCCCAGTGGTGAGAATCTTTGTCTTTTTGATGTTGAGCTTCAATCCATATTGAAGACTACAGTCCTTGACCTTCTGCAGCAAACACCTCATGTCCTCCTCAGTTTCAGCAAGCAAGGTTGTGTCATCTGCATAACATAGGTTGTTGAGTCTTCCTCCAATCCTGACCCCACATTCTTCTTCATAGAGTCCAGCCTCTCAAATGATTTGCTTACAGTACAGATTGAATAGGTACGGGGAAACAATACAACCCTGACACATAATTTTCCTGACTTTAAATTGTGCAATGCTCTCGTACTCTGTTCAAACAACTTATTGTCTAAGTTTAGGTTTCACATGGGCATAATTAAGTGGGATTCCCAGTCTTCTCAGTGTGAGCTATTTTTTTGTTATAATCCGTATATTCAAATGCCTTTGTGTAGTCAAAATAGACATTCTTCTGGAATTCCCTGCTTTCAGCCAGGAGCCATCTGACATAAGCAATGATATCTTTTGTGCCCCAGCCTCTTCTAAATCCAGCATGAACTTCTACCAGTTCCCTGAAAATGTACTATTCTGACAGTTTTTAGATGCTCTTCAGCAATGCTTTGCTTGCATGTGATATTAATGACATTGTTTGATAATTTCCTCACTCTACTGGATCACCTTTCTTGGGAATTGGAACAATTATGGGAGCTGTCCTCCAAATTTCCTGGCATAAACTGATGGAAACTTCTAGGGCTGCCTCTGTTAGTTGAAACATGTCAATTTGTACCAAATTGATTCCTGGGGTCTTAATTTTTGCCACTGCTTTCAGTGCAGCTTGAGGTCGTTCTTTATTACCATTGGCTTTTGTTGAAATAAAACTTCTTAAATTGTTCCGTGTCAACTAATTCTTTTTGATACAGTGATTCTGTGTTCCATCCATCTTCTTTTGAGGCTTCCTGAATCATTCAAGACTTTGCCCATTGCATCTGTTTTACTACTTGAGGCTTGAATTTATTCTTCAGTTCTTTCAACTTGACAAATACCAAATTAGTTCTTACCTTTTTATCCTACAGCTCCATTTCTTTGCACATTCCATTATAATACTTTGCTTTGTCTTCTTAAGCCATCCTTTGAAATTTTCTGTTCATCTCTCTTACTTTTGAGTTTCTTATCTTTGTTTTGGTTTCTCAATGCTGTAGTACAATTTTCAGAGTTACTTCTGTCATCCACTTTGTTGTTTTCCTCCTCTGTCTTTGTAAAAATCTTTTGCTATCTTGGATTTTATCTTTGATGTCATCCCATAATTTATCTGGTCTTTGGTCATTAGTGTTCAATGTCTCAAATCTATTCTGGAGATAATTTTAAATTCAGGTTCATAGACTCAAGGTCATATTTTGGTTCTTGTGAAATTGCTTTAATTTTACTGAGCTTCAATTTGAACTTGCGCATGAGTAATTTATGATCAGTTCCACACTCAGCACCTGGCCTGGTTTTGACTGTTGATCTTGAGCTTCTCTGACAATTCCTTTCACAGACGTAGTTAATCTGATTCCTGTTGAGGTCCATCAGTCGAGGATAATGTGTAAAGTGAACTTTTTTGTTTTTTGAAAAAGGTATTTGTGGTGAATAAATCATTGAATGTACAGAATTCAGTCATTCTATGTCTTGTCTCATTTCTGTTACCAAGACCTTACTTCCACCTATCATTTCTTCCTCATTGTTTCCAGCTTTTGCATTCCAGTCACCCATAATTATCAGTACATCTTGATTGCATGTTTGGTCAATCTTAGACTGCAAAAGGTGGTAGAAATCCTTGGTCTCCTCCTCTTTGGCTTTAGTTGTTGATGCATATATTTGGATAATAGTTGTAGTAATAGGTCTTCCTTGTATGCATATGGATAGTATTCTATTACAAAAATTGTATTTTAGGATGTTGTTACTGTTGCTGTTATGTACTGTTGAGTCGCCTGTACTGTGTACAACAGCTCTAAACCCTGCTCTATTCTGTGATAATCTTATTGTCTCTGACACACTTACCCCCCTTACCCCAGTCACTCACTGAATCAATTCATCTCATCAAGGGTCTTCCTCTCTTGCACTGTCCCTCCACCCTCTCGAGCATGATGTCCCTCTCCAAGGACCGATCACTCCATGAAACATGTCCAAAGTATGTCAGACGAAGCTTCAGAATCCTTGCCTCCAAGGAGCAGCCTGGTCTTACCCTATGTAGGATGAACCTGTTTGTTCTCCTAGCAGTCCACTGTATATTTAATATTCTTCTCTAGCACCACAGCTCAAAAGCATCAATTCTCCTTCTGTCATCTCTAATCATTGTCCAGCTTTCTGACACATAGCAAGCAATTGCAAAGACAATGACCCACGTCAGTCTCCAGACTGACATTTTTGCTCTCTGACATTTTTGCTCTTCAGTATGGTGGAGAGGTCTCTGACAGCAGACTTTCCCAATGCAATTCATCTTTTGATTTCCTGGCTGTTGGTACCAAAAAGGTTGATTGTGGAGCCAAGCAAACTAAATCTCAGTCTCTTCACCATCTATCATGATGCTACCAGTTGGCCCATTGGTGATATTTTTTGTTTCTTGATGTTGAGTTTCAACCCATATTGAAGGCTGTAGTCCTTGACCTTCTGTAGTAAACACTTCAAGTCCTCCTCAATTTCAGCAAGCTGAGTTGTGTCATCTACATAACAGATTGCTGATGAGTCTTCCTCCAATGCTGATAGATATTGAAATTGTCTTTTTCACTATGAATGCAACACCATTCTTCCCTAGTTTTTCATTGCTAGTATAATAGTTTATTCATTTGAACTGGCCATGCCAGCCCATTTCAGTTCATTAATGCCTAGAATGTTGACCTTCATGCATTCTGTTTTATTTTTTACAACTTCCAGTTTTCCTACATTCATACTTCAAAAATTCCATGCTTCCATTATTATTCCTACTGTTTATTCTCATTTTTAATAATATATTCTTTTATTGTTCATAGGGTTTTCAGAAACCTGTTATTTCAGAATTGGGTGGTCAATTCTGTTTCCTAGTCTGTCTTAATCTGGGAGCTCTGCTGAAGCCTGTCCACCATGGATGCCCCTTCTGGTAGAATAGTTTGCACCATCACTACAATATACAATTACCAAATAGGAAAGTACTGTACAACTAAGAGCAAAAAACAAACAAGCAATAAATAAGC